GCGCGTCAGAATTCCACATCAGCCTGACAGCCTAAGCCCTGGAAGAAGCCTGTGACAGCCCCATGACACGATAACCTCTAAGTGCTCGTCTGTTTGTGTCTAGAAGCCCGCGACACCTGGTTCCCCTCAGCACAGCCAGCGCCATCGATCCACTGTTCTCATCAAAACCCGGAGCATCACTGTCTGTCCCATGGGGCTGCAGACGGCGCCTGGCTCACTGACTGCTGGGCGGGGGGTGGACAGCACAGCCCAGGACAGAGTGCTCCAGAGAGCCCACTCCCAAGAGGGCCAGAAAAGGGAAAGAACTCACGTCTTCAGCTGGCCAGCCCAGCCTGGGCTTGTGGTGACCACTCCCACACCAGTCCCCTGGGCCTGGGTGACACATGAGGCGGCTTTATTAGTGCACAGTGCCCACACAGCGCCCCAGAGCACGCTGCCCACACCCGGGCAGCCCTGCCTAGACTCACTGCTGCGCTTTTATAACTACACTAACAGCTTGAGGCACCAGCAGTCCCCTGATAAACCAGGTCCTAAACGTAGCGTCAGCTAGAAACAATGGGGACAGCGCACTTGCGGCTCTGGTCCAGACACTCGAGATGTGGTCTCCCAGAAGCAGGGTGAACCATCGGGACTCAGGACATATACTCATCACTGCAGGAAGCTTCTTTCCACCCTCTGGGCACAGAAAAGGACACCTCTCAAAACCACTTGAGGCACTTCCTGGTCCTGGTCACCCCTAGAGGCGCGTCAGAATTCCACATCAGCCTGACAGCCTAAGCCCTGGAAGAAGCCTGTGACAGCCCCATGACACGATAACCTCTAAGTGCTCGTCTGTTTGTGTCTAGAAGCCCGCGACACCTGGTTCCCCTCAGCACAGCCAGCGCCATCGATCCACTGTTCTCATCAAAACCCGGAGCATCACTGTCTGTCCCATGGGGCTGCAGACGGCGCCTGGCTCACTGACTGCTGGGCGGGGGGTGGACAGCACAGCCCAGGACAGAGTGCTCCAGAGAGCCCACTCCCAAGAGGGCCAGAAAAGGGAAAGAACTCACGTCTTCAGCTGGCCAGCCCAGCCTGGGCTTGTGGTGACCACTCCCACACCAGTCCCCTGGGCCTGGGTGACACATGAGGCGGCTTTATTAGTGCACAGTGCCCACACAGCGCCCCAGAGCACGCTGCCCACACCCGGGCAGCCCTGCCTAGACTCCGGGATGACCCCTGAGTAAAACAGGACTGACCAGCACATGGAGTCTGGTGGGGTTTCGGAGAAATTCCACTGATGACTCTACTCTCTCTGTTCTAAGCAGATTTTGTTGGAAACTATGCTTTTCTAAGACTCAGGAGCAGGTCTGCTCAACGCAGATGATGCTGGGCCCTGGACGCCCAGGGGCATGGGGAAAAGAGCAGGAGGGGACTCCCTGTGCTTCTTGAAAACATGAAAACAGCTTCCGGTGCGTCCTGGCTCAGCCCAATACAAACAGAGACAGCATTCGTCCCCGTGGAACACGGCTTAGGAAGATGTCTGGAGCTCAAGTGGTGCCCGTCAAAGGAGAAAATACCCACCATTTCTAGGTACTTTTGTTGCGTGTGTATATGTGTGTGTAAACTTTTTACATTGACATCTACTGTTAACACGTGATGACTACAAAGCCTGGATGTGAACACTCACACTTCATCTCTGAAGAGGTAGGTTTTAAGGCTCCTACTGTTTCAAGAAGCAATAAATGTTAAAATACACAGCAACACACGCTCGTGCTTGCTACAACCCCAAACCCAAAGCGGCTACGGAAACCCAGCCCATTTGTATAGCTGCCCCAGGGACACCACTCACGAGGTGAAAACCAGCAAAAGCCAAGGAGGTCAGCCCGCTGCCAGGACCAGAGCCTGAGTGACAGGCCCTACCGGCAGCATCTCGGCCGTGCTCGCCACAGAAGCGGAAGCCGGGGTGGGGCTGGGGGTGGGGGTACGTACGGCAGGTGTACACGTCTCTGTACTCCATGTGCTCGTAATCGGGCAGAATTCTCATGAAACGTCCCGACTTCACGCGCGGGTTTATACCTGAACAGACACAGCAGGCAAGGGGCTGAGGGGGCTTCCGCCTTCTCGACTGGACTCACCACACGCTCACCCATGTCACACACTTCCCTTACGTCCTCGACCCCCGGAACCTGCGGGGGCACTCGCCATGGTGGCAGGCCTGGCCAGGAGGAATCGTGATGACAGGCATTGCTGCCAGTCAGTGATCCATGCTGGGGACTCTCCACGACAGGCCCACTCGGGACTCCCCCAACCCCACGCTCTCTCTCCGTCACCCACCACGATAACCAGGCTCGCTGAGCAGGGAGGGCAGAGGTCATACTCACAGATATTGGGGTGACTGTGTAGGGAGCCCTGTGTCCCAGCTAGGATCCCAGGCTTGCCCGGTGCATACCTGGCATGTCCTTCACCTGCTGTGTTTGAGCGTGCTGGTTGTGCTGAAGGACAGTACTTGCCAGCCCCCGAACTCAGTCAGACCCCTCGCTCCTGAATCAAGGTAGCTGGGCCCACTATCTAAGCAAGAAAGGGGTGACTTTCTTCCACCACCTCTTCCGGAAGCTAAGGACAAGGTCCTCAAGGCAAACTCAAAGAAACACGGTTCTGGGGCTGTGAGGATGGAAGCTGAAGCTCACGCTGGCGGGGGCAGATCAGACACTCTGGGAAAGTGTTTGGATAACAGACAATGCAAACTGTCCTCTGCATTTGGCAACCACTTTCGAGGGTTTGCGAGCCAGCAGTTACAACCTCTCCAGATGTCCTGCTTTGCCTGTGACCTCGCTGTGGCCCTGTCCCCTCTTGCTGGACCGCCCCTCTCCTCCTCACCTGCCCATCCACTGTGCCCAGACATCCCTTCCACAGGACAGCTGCCCCAGCCCCTTTGCCCACAGCTGAGATGAGCTCTGCGGGGGCCTTAATTTCTCATGCGTGCTCTCCCCCGGGAGCTTCAGCCCCAACACCAGGCGGATGTGAGCCTCCCTCCAGGACTATTTCAGGGCTTACAGCTCTTACAGGGAACTCAAGTCACTTTGTCATGATATCATCAAATGGCCTAACAAACTCAAGTGGCCAGATGATAAGAACTTGTCGTATTAGACCCTCAAGGAAACAGCTGACCATTTCCCAAATCCAGGAAGCCTCTCGTTTCTGTGCTCACAGAGGCTGCTATGGCCAGTGTGGTTCAGACAGATACCAATGTCCACAGCGAGGGTGGCCTCCTGGACTCTCCGGACTTAAAGACTCTGACTCTGGGGAGCAACGCTGGAGCCGAGAGTGGAGCGGGGCCCTGGCGACACCCCCAGGACAGAGGGCAGGAGGAGAGGGTACACAACCAGCTCTCCACCCCTGGAACTCTGGGCTTTGCAGGATTCAAAGGAGCACTGTTCTCGTCCCTAAGACCAGAGGACTGGAAGGAACTCCATTTTCCCAGGAGTGACCACTAGGGCCCCCAGATCCACTTGCCCTGGAGACACGTCTTCTTGGGGAGTGGGACATGGAGCAGAGGTCAGAGAGAAAGCCAAAGTGCGAACGTGTACAGGGAAGGAGGAGCGGGAAAGCCTGTGCAGACCATCACTGGGTCCAGGACCAAGGACAGGTGTGGGGGTGGGCGGGGGGGGGCAGGGATGGTGGCTATGGTGGGCAAGGATGCAGCCCAGGGGGGGTGCTGGGAGGCAGCAGAAGTAGGGCCGGGACATGCAGGGCTCCGGTGGGAGTGGGGGCGTCGGGGGGACGTGGCCGCCTTGAAGGTACAGTTGAGCATCAACACCAAGAACAGCCTGTGTCCAGGGTGCCTGGGCTCCTCAGGGGAAGATCCATGGAGACCCAGAGACTCTGACAGGAGATTTCCCAACTCGTGAGCAACTCTAACCCAGGGACACCTGCCAATCTAACACCCCCCCAAGTGGTCACGGGACTGAGGTAGAGAGAAGTCTGAGGGGATGAGGAAGTCAGCGTGGATTCAGGGGCCAACCGTGGCCCACTCTGCTTGTGCAGCGGGTGTGGGCCACGTGAGGAGGGCTGGCCTCCCAGGAAGCCCCCCCGTACTGAATCACAGGTGTTCCCACACAGCAGCCCGCCCCGGCTCCCCAGGAAGCCCCCCGTACTGAATCACAGGTGTCCCCACACAGAAGCCCAGCCCTGGCTCCCTAGGGAAGCAGCTCAGGGAGAAGCACCACCTGGTCTGCATGTTCTCTGCACAACTGGTACAAAGTGCAAAAGACAGTGAAAACCAAACTCTACCAAGGTGCTTTAAAGATGAACACTTAAGGTCCTTTCCAAAGAACTCAGCAGGTCTCCCTTAGGCCAAAGGTCTTTCTTACACTGTCCTTTACAACCCAGCCCCAAGGGTTAACAGTGCATCCCACCCCAACCCAGGTAGGGAGAGGCGGGCTACCCCGTGGGACCCTGGGTGGCATCAGTGCCAACAGCCTCACACCTGAGGGAGGGCCAGAGAAGAGATGCTTGGGGCAGGGGCTCTGGGCATCAGGGAACATTGCTGGCAACTCTGGAAGGCAAAGTGGTGGAGACAAGAAATGGGGGCGGGGACTGGGGGCTCACCACTCCTGCAGGAAACGAGCCGAGGAAGGACAGGGGCTAGGGCAGGGAGGAGGGGCCCAGCTGCTGTCACACGTCATGGTCACTCCTGCTGCCACGTCCCCAACCAGGCTGCGGGCCAAGACCCAGAAGGGGGTACCTCTGAGCCCCCCAGAGCTGTTTTCAGGGCGACCATGTCTCCAGATAAATGACACCTGATGCACTTGTGCTGCAAAATCAGGGTCATGCTTTGGCCAGAAACGGGGAGAAGAGAGCCCCAGTGCTGTCATGCCTGTGCTGGCTCCACAGTGTCACCTCTGACTTTAAGGGGGCCTCTGAGAACTGGCCCGTGGGCTTTTACTTTACGTGGGTGCTGCTCAGTGAGGGTCAGCCTCTGGAACCAGTCAGTGGGAGACGACAACAGAGTAACTTACGCTTGGCATAGACGTCTCGACAAGACACGCCCGTGATCTCCAGCTTCCGCAAGTTTTCACAAACGCCGTACTCTGTAACAAGAAACGTTTGCTGGGAATTACAGTCAAGAAAAGCAGCAGCAATAGAAAGACTAGGGGAGGGGATGGGGTGGGCATGCCTCAGCCTTGGCCGTGTCCTCCAAGCCTGACCCTTCTCCCACTGCGGAGGTTTCACAGACCTTCTCCACACTCAGTCAACACCTCACTCAACGGTGAAGCCACTGTTCTATTTTTAGACGACATCACTCTGAATGAAACGGCAATCTGCATTGTCTATTCTGATAAGCTCTGGAAACCTAATCGCTCAAACCCACAACCAGACAACCAGCTCATGAACACGGTGAATACTGTGCGTTCCCATGGAAATGAGACCATCACTGGTGTCCTGGTTCCACAAAGGCCCCCAGACCCAGGTGCAGCCACTGACTCTGAAGTGAAGACACAGCTGGGGCTGCCCAGGGTAGCCTTGAAGCAAAACCCTGATACTACCTCCATGACAGCACTCTACCCCACCTCAAACAGGGGCCCCAGGCTCAGAGAGGTTGGTGACTCAGCAGTCCTTCCAGAAGGCCAGCAAAGGGCTGTCCACCTCGTCACACCACAGCCCCTCCCGCTGCCAAGGCCTGGTCTTTTCAGTGGAACATCTGACGTCAACCCAATGCTTCTATGGCTGCGAGGATTTCGACAGTGTCCCAGCCAAGCTCAAGCTGCAGACAGTGAAGCAGCCACTTGGGGCAAGGCGGTCACCACCTGGCAACCTCCCTGAGACCAGGCCTGTTTCTCTGCCTCCGCTGCTGACGAACAGCCCATGGCCTGGCTCGTGATCACACAAAAGCACACGTGCTACCCTCCTGCCAAGAAGAATGTGGACTCCACTCCAGAGAGTCATGCAAGTCGCAAGAACTTGTGAGCAACTTGATAGTGAAACATGTTGTGTGTGACCTGGGGCAGGGGTGACACCTGCATGTCACATGAGTCACCAGCAACCGAGAGGCCCCAAACCCTCTCAGACCACGTGGGGGACCAGATGGAAGGGCCACTCCCGCCCTGGCCGGTGGTCGAGCTGGAGTGGGTCGGCCCCACACCGGACGGCCTTCATGAGTTCCCACCACGGCCAGGCGGCCACCTGACAACCACGGGGCTGTCACCACCTTGGGTGCTCCCCATAAACAGTGTCCTTCCCTTGCACCAATGACAGTGTGCTCCAAAACTGTCACCACACAAGACCGGCACCTCGGTCTGTATGCTGTGTGGTTCTGAAAGGACAGCTCCTCCCCTGGCTTCCAGCAGCAACCAGTGCACGTGGTCAACAAGACCTGCCTCTTATTGCCTCGCAGACACGATGGACATGATGGTTTGGGAGCCCACTAGGGGGCAGGGGATGGGGAGACTTCTCCTCTGAACTGTGCACTCTTTTTTTTTTAATTTATTCTCTCATTTATTCTTTTTTTTTTAATTTTTTTTACTGAAGGATAATTGCTTTACAGAATTGTGTTGCTTTCTGTCAAACCTCAGCCTGAATCAGTCATAGGTATACATATACCCCCTCCCTTTAGAACTTCCCTCCCATCTCCCTCCCCATCTCACTCCTCTAGGTTGATACAGAGCCCCTGTTTGAGTTCCTTAGCCATACAGCAAATTCCCGTTGCACTTTTGTGATACACGCAGACACTGCCGGTCAGATGCTGGGCACAGACGAGAGATGCACCCCCACGTGCTCCAGCAGCCTGTATCTCCTTGAGGCATCGGTGCCGCCCCACGCACACCTCCCAGTGCCGAGTTGCTGAAGGCAGGTGACCTGGTCTGTCATTTTCCCGTCTGAGTCCAGCAATCGTCCAACCTGAGGGAAACAACGCGCTGCCTACCAACAACCGCTCGAACTCTGGATGACTGAAACACTGTGAATCTCTCCGCACAATGTGTCAAGAAAAGGCGCTGTTAATAGCACCCAGGAGACAAACCTGCACGAGCGGACAAACCAACCACAAAAAAGGCCACTGACAATGGGAAGGAAAGCAAAGGTATGACACAGTGCTAATAACTACGGCAGTGCTCAGTGGGCTTTCCTCAATGCTCCCCAAAGATGATACATTCACCAAAGCAGAACAAATTGGGTCATTCTGACCCAAATGTTCCTGCAAGAAATGTTTGGTATTTTCCACATGATGGGAAAGACTTTTTTTTTTAAACAATGGCTAGGAACAATTCCACATCCCCTGATAGTTCTATAAACCTTTCCGTAAGTCACTGGGGAAATGCCATAAAGTAGCGTTAAGACCAGTGCACCTACACAACCACGGAGCCTCCCTCCCAGAAAAACTCACCCTTCTGCCCAAGATGGTTACAGTTAGCACACCAAACCATGCTGCCCACAGCTGCTTTCTAATTGCCAGCAATTCAAAAACTTTCCTTGCTAAACTAGTACATCAGGCAGCTTGTGAAAGTCTTTTTTGAAAGTGTCTGCTCTAAAACCAGCAACACAGTCTTAAAAAAAAAAAAAAAAAAAAGGTTGGGAAAGGGGGAGAAAAATGGATGGCTGAGCTAGACTTGAGGAAATTTAAACATAGAATCCAGCTATTACCCTATTTCTGAGTGCATTCTCAAAAGAGATTAAAGTAGACTCAGAGATGTGTGTTCACCCTTGCTTATAGCAGCACTGTTCACAATAGCCAAGAAGTGGGGGCAACCCCAGTGTCCATTGATGGATAACAGATAAGCAAAACAGGTCCATCCTCATAGTGGGATATTACTCAGCCTTAAAAAGGAAGAGAGGCAGACACCCGACACAGCCTGGCTGAACCTTGAGGACGCTGTGCTGAGTGAGATGAGCCCATCACAAAAGGGCAGTATTGTATGGTCCCACTGATACAAAGTCCCCAGAGGGGCCAGATTCATAGAGACAGAAGGTAGAAATGGAGGGTGCCAGGCGCTGGGGGAGGGGAAACGGGGTGCTACTGTGTCATGGGGACGGAGCATCCGCTGGGGAAGATGGAAAAGTTCTGGCTATGGTGGTGATGGCTGCACAAGCATGTGAATGTATTTAATGCCACTGAACTACCCACTTCAAAAAGGTCAAAGTGGTACATTTCACTTTGTGTATATGTTACCACAATTTAAAAAAAAATCAAATTGCCACTTCAAAATATTCCAATCAGGAAATTTCCAAAAAGCTATTCAACGCGTGTCGCCAAAAGGGAAAAACAGGCCAGGAATCTGGGCTGAGTCAACACTGAAGCTGCATCCTCCCGTGACCCGACCACCAGGGGCTCCTGGCCCTCCTCACTCCCTTCCCGTCCAGTGAGGTCCTCCCTGTCCAGGTCTTACCCAAGCCCCCACCCACAGACGTGTTTTTTACTGTGCAGGAGGTCTTTTCTATCTCCACGGGCAGGGACGGGTGAGAGTTTTCTCCTTCTCTCTTTTCCACTCTCTTGCCCCTACAGGAGGACCCAAGGGTCACATGCTACTTCCCAAGACCCTGGAAGAAAAGACAGAGGTGAATGGAGCCAGCACCTGTGCCTGCCGTGGCTGGGATGTGCAGGCGCTCTGTGTCAGAACCAAAGGTGACAAAGTTAACGACATCCTTCCACAGGTTGCACCAGTCCTGGAGTCTGTGGTTACAGGGCACTCAGCCCCATGCTGCAATAAAGGCCACTCAGGAGGGCTTTGCCATGCTGGACGGCCACAGTGCCAGGACCGACTCTGATGCAAGCGAGGGGTACACGGGATGAGAGTGGGAACGGGGGGCATTCTGTTCCTCCAGAGACAGGGGTCCAGGGCGACGCAGGAGCACTGACAGGCTCAGGCAGCAAAGCGCCCAGATGGGGCGACCTGTGGGTGGAGCCAGCAGAGACAGACCTGGAGGCACAGGTGGGGGTCCAGTGCAGAGGCCACTGCACTGCCAGGCAAGGCAAAGGCAGAAGAAAAGCTGGGGGGGCCCAGCCGTGGCCCCTGGAAGGCAGCAGTGGGAGGAAGGGGGCTGGGGGAATGCGAGGCTGGGTCCTCTCCCACCTGCTGTAAACTCAGCTCCCCAAATAAAACCAACAAGCAGTAATGATTGAAAATGTAGCTCGTTTTTGTTTGTACTAGATTATGGGATAATTATAACCCTTAATAAAGTATGGTTGGAATTTCTGAGGCTAAAAAAGGAGGCAGAGGCAGGGGTGGGAGCTGGTAGAGGAGGGGGGGTTCCACCAGGCTCGGGGTGGGGGGGTTTCAGGCAACTGGTTCTCAGGCCTCCTGCTCCGAGGATACCCCTCCAACAGCAGTGCACTGGTTCCAAACTCCTGTGTGTCCCCCAGCTTGCTGCTTTCCTTAGCTGTTACTGTAACTGCAGGAAATGCCTTTTTAAAGAAAAAAATAATAATAATGTAGCAGATCTGGAAAAGCACTTTGCAGCCAGCTCATCTCAGGATGGACGAATGCAAAAAGCAAACCTAGACACGGCCCATGGGCATTTCCTATTAAACACTTAGAATATTCAGGCTGCTAAGCAAACAGTTCCCCAGGACAGCTGATGCCACCTACACAGTCAATGCGACTTCTTCCCAACCAGCTCCACCTCTGCAAAGATGAACAGCCTCAGTGCCAACAGGAGCCTTACCCCTCCAGCCAGAAGATGCTAACCCTGTCCAGCTCCATGACAGGCACCCACTGGCCAAGGGAGCCCCACTCCCACTGGCCAAGGGAGCCCCACTCCCACTGAGGCCCATCTGTCATTCTTAAGACACTTCTTCCTGGTACACACACCCCTGCTGGGTCTCAGGGGGTTGAGACCTGAGACCAGGGGGTAAGCAGGAGTCTGACTCTGCCATCATGTCTCCCCAGACCTCCTCTCAGATTTCAGACACTCCCTGACACCCCACTAATATTCAGCAAGCAGGCCTGCTGGCTACTCCGGGTTCCTCCCCTGCCCATCACCACGAGGCAGACAGCGAGGGCCCCACTGGCAAAGGATGCTGACTCATGAGGGAGAACCCAGGCCACCTCCTGGACCAGTCCTAGGCTGATCAGAGGACAGTGGTTCCTCCACAGTC